TGCCGGCGATTTTCAATTGCTTGCATCAACATTTTATTGCAATATTCTGGTAATTTACTCTACAAACTATGCAATGATTGTTGATGACCACGCATTACGCTTTGAAGAGTGTCAAGATTTAAAGTCATCAAATAGAATTTATATTGTGTAATTGTTTTCGAATAACTCGATACTAAACTAGCGCGTCGATCTTTATCAAGAGCTCTGTTTGCAAGCATCGACTCGATATAGACTAAAGATTGATTAATTATTTTATCGAATGCACTTGGTAGTCGACGTAAGAAAATTCGTTTGCGGAGAATTTCTACTTCTGCCTTTGTTTTCAGTATATTTGCTTTTGTTTGCCATATCTGTTTCGCTAAATATATCTAAATATCAGCAGAATATCGAAGTGTATATATCTCATGTTTAAGTAAACAAACCTGTTCTTTATTTGGTTGTAATTCATAAAATTTTGTAATTAATTTACGATCACTGAAATCTAATGCTAGCATTTTTCTTTTATAATCAAATTCTTGTCTTAATCGTTGTTGTGCACCTTTGACACATTCATTTATAGCATTTGATAAAATAGTGGGATGAATGTATGGCTGCCACTTTTCAATATTTTGTTCTAATTGTGTTATATATTGCTGTAATTCGTTTATTGTACGTTGAAATTGTCGTCCAATAGTTTGTAGACGTTCTTCTACTATATACTTAGGAAAACCATACGAGCGGCATGTATAATGCTGTTTTGCAAAAGATTTTGATACTTGTGGTGCCCATTGAGTTTCTTTCATGCCAAGCTCGAAATAATCTTTCCATAGTTGACGTTGTAAATCGAAATAATATAAATTATTTGTCGTTTCAGTCATTTGACGAACTAACTGAAGCTTTTCATTAGTATCCAAACACTGAACAGTTTTATCGCCATCCTCTATTGTATTGGATAACATGCGTTTAAATATTTTATCAGAAACTTTCAAGTAACTTGGTTTGATTTTTTTTACAAAGTTATTTGAGTATGAATCATTGTCGCCTCTCTGTATTTGATCTTCTTGTTGTTGTTGATTTTCATTAGTATTACTAACTAGATTTGGTACTTCTTTCTTTGTTGGACTATTTACTGTCGTCGACTTTGTCTTCTTTGGATTTCTTTCTGATATAGATAATTAACTAAAAGATCTACTGACCTGTATATCACCTTAATTGGTTACTTGCCGTTTACGCTTATTTTCTAAACTGGGTCTATGTTGATGGTTCTGTGTCTCTTGCTATATATAATAGAAATATTTATATAGAGAGATAGATTCATTCTAGTTTCAAAAAAATACAGTTAACATACTTGAATCTGTTGTTGTTGTTCATCTTCTTGTGGATCATCGTCAGTATCATCTATCACAATTAAAACACTTTGATCCATATGATGATCAGTAGTATTATACTGTTTTTGTTGTTGACGGCGTAGTCTTCGCCGTTGGTGTTGTTGTTTTCGATTACCACGGCATTTTTTCTTCTTTTGTTGCTTCTTATTATTATTCGAGTTCATTTCTTGTCCGGTAAAAGCTTGTACCGATGAACCTAATCCATATCGACGACCTTGAGAATCTTCGGACAAATCTTTTGGATCAACGCTGTTACAAGTATCTTTCCTAAGTGCCATTCAGTTTTAATGTAGACAGAAATTGATAGAGTTAGATCTAGAAAAGAAAGCAGAAAAACTACTTCAAGCTCCTATTCTTTCAAAGCATATCATAGTTTTACATGAACTTATGAAAAATAATAAAAAAGAGAACAAAAATGCAACAGGAAAAATTTATTGGAACACAGAATATTAGCTCGATTATATACCATTCAAGTTTAATAACCGTATCTACTTTCCGTGATATTGCTGAGAGAGATAAAAAAAGCTTAATTCTTGTTTAACCCTTCGGGGACCGACTTTTTTTGAAAAGATAGTTTTCTTATAAGAAAGAAAAAAGATGTTTATTCAATCAAAAACCATAATCAAAAGTCTTTTAGGGTATGGCAAGCGTTGAATCAATCAATTGTTCCTAACTCAAAAAAGGAAAGTGATTCTATAGACTACTTTCACTCAGTTCTGATTGATTTGGTATATATACCATACCAAAATTTTGATACGTACTCGAAGTGGTATATATACCACGCTCGTCCCCAAAGGGTTAATGCTGGCATCGATTTCTGAAGAGAAACACATACGCAATCGTAGCACATAATCCATTTCTTTTCGAATGTTTCACTTTCCGATTAACTTTTGTACGACTTTGTGAATGTTACAGGGAAGCATATGTTTAATATATTTGCCTTGTGACAAATACAAAACTACTTGTCTGAAAAAAGCACGAATAGATGCAGGAAGTTCGGTACAGAACGAATAGATCATCGAAAAAGATTCAATGTATATATGAAAGAAACAACTGAAGGAAAAAACTGAAAAAGTAAGAAAGATAAACAATTTCTACTGTATCATTATGTGACTTGTGGCCACAGTAAATCATTAGTAATCATAGTGTTCATTGGATTTGTAATCGTCTAGATAATCTAATGCACCATAATCTTCTTCTTCCTTTTGTTTTACAGTATCTGATATCGTTTGGTTTGTTTGCATATGTGATGCTACTTCTTGTTCTTCTCGGTGTTCTTGTATTACACAATCAAGATTTGTTGGGGCACTTGGAGTGCAATTTGGTATATGATCTTCAATCTAAACACGGATCATTTAGGAACAATTGATATCATTATAGTATTAGTCCATCTATCTCGTAACTCCTTACTTTACATCGAGGAATTTTAACAAAACACTTCATACAATCAATTAAATTGACTGTCACATCTGTTGTTCGAAGTTGCTGACTTAATTAAGGTAATGATCTATATTTTATTGTATATATTTGTACTAGTGATTTCTCTCATCATAGAGCATCCTAAATCCTTGAAATAATCAACGAGGAACTAATCCAGGTTCTGCTTTCTGTACCAATCCAACACCCCCTACGTATTCGTTGATTCAATCTAAGTGTATATCAAGTTCTAATGAATACTCACAGAATTAAGCCACAGCTGGCCCAGTAATTAATATTTTGGGTGTGGGTGTGGGTGTGGTTGCTCTCTGAACCCGCCTACACCCCACGCCCACACCCACACCCACACCCACACACCCACACACCCATAACCACACCCACACCC